GAATATTATAACATGATATTTGGTGAAAGCTATTTTCTTCAATTTGTATAAGTGAGGTTAAAAATGTCATAATATAAGGTGAGAGGTTAAAAGTTACAAATTTTGTAAGATGAGAGGCTAAAAGCTACTAATTTTGTAAGATGAGGAGTTAAAAGCTACTAATTTTGTAAGATAAAAGACTAAAAGTGTCATATTATAAGGTTATGGGGTAAAACCTATCAATTTTATAAGGTAAGGGACTAAATGTTGGTTTTTGCCCAGCATACCATGACCGCTACAAAAAAAAAGAAAAAAAAAAGAAGAAGAGACTGAAATGATTATTTAAAATTATGATACGATTAAATAGTACTAACATTATATTTTCTCCTCTTCTTTATTGGACTCATGAAGAATTAGAGCGAAGGTTCCTTGGGTCCAACCATATATATAGATCAAACTAGAAGAAATGGTAAGCAGAAACTGATTGGAATGAAAATTTGTTGAAGTTCTCCTAAACTTGCTATGTTATTAAGTTCTTCTAAACTGCTATGCTATTAATATCACCTTCACTACCGAATACAACACAATGGAATCCAGGTAAACTGAGAAGTATCTTCAAGTCTGGAAGTAGAACAGTTTCTAAAACGTGAAACTCACAATGGATCCAATATTCAAAATCCAAAATTTGAAACTCCCATGCAGAACAGTCTCTAAAAGGTAAACTCAATTCCAATTCCCAAAAGTTACTATCGGCACATATTAGAGCAAGATCTAAATAGTAAAAACCCAAAATATTCAGTCAAAATGAAAAAATATATATATATATATATATATATATACGCATAACATAAAATGATTGAAATCGCGATATCAAAACCTGGGATTGAAGACAACAAAAAGAAGAAACGTACTTAATACCAGAAAGAGAAACAAACTCAGAAATTATTGCAAAATCAAAATGTGTTAGGGTTTGCAAGTCATATGTGCGAAGTCAAAATGAGAATAGGGATTTTGAAGTCGAAGATAACAAAAGAGATGCTAACCAGATTGAAAGCATTGAATTCAAATTAAGGGAATTTGAAATCGAGAGGGAGCTATTTGTAGAGCAATTTTGGGTTTAGGCACCAAGAAGAAAATATTGAGCGTGGTAAACACGTGTAGCTAAAGCTGCGACGTCGTTTTGTTTTTTAAAATTTTATTTCCATGCAAGTTTCCAGCGCTTAATTGGAAAGCGCCTACAAATCTCTTCTAATGCATAGTATATTTTGATAGAAAAAAAAAAATGCTATAACTCAAATATAGGGTTAAAATCACTTTCTTGTAGTGATTTAGGGATAACAGTTAGTGATTTAGGGATAACAGTTAGTGATTTTACTCAAATTGTTATAAACCTGTGAAGAAAGTAAAGGATCTTATTATGTTCCAATTATCTTATCTCTACGTTGTCTGCAACTTTGATATGTCATTACTATCAATCAAGCTCAACTTGCCTATGGTATGCAAACCTCTAAATTGGAGGAGTGTCGGCATGTCAGATCAAAACCCTAGATACTTGTCTGATTTATCAAGTGTTTGATATATTTATTTATTTTAAAACCACTACAAATTAAATGTTTAATAAATTTTTTTATTTAACAATTTAGGATTAACAAATGACGATGAAGGTCCAAACCATTGCTAGATTGAAAAAACTACCTTTAATAGTTTTTTTTTTATTAAACTGTTAGTAAATTAAAAGTTTTTAATTTTATTAACAATTTTATATGTTTTAATTTTTCAATTTTTTACTACATTGTTTAAATACCACTTAATTAATTAGTTTTAAATTCATTTTTTCCCTATAATAACATAAACTATTATTATATTTTCATTTTTTACATTAACTTATCATTAAAAAAAATTATATTAACTAAATAAAAAAAACTTTGCTAATTAGACAAAATAATTAAAATTTTTTAATTATTTAAAAAAATAATATAATTTTTCATTAAAAATAAAAATAAATGTGTGCTTTGTATTTTTATATTTTATTTATTATTTATTTTTATTTTTATAAAATTAATAATTTCTAAAATAAAAATATTAAAAAATGCATTTAATTGGTTTTAAACATGCCTTTATTGTTCATGTTATATTAAATAATAATTGTTAACCATTATATAACTAAATGGTTATATGAATCACAATTTTGCTACTTATTTTTGGTTCTTGATCAATTGCTATTCACTACCCACTATCCACAATCTGCTACTCACTATCCACAATCTACTATCCACTATTTGTTATCTTATATTGGTTGAACTTTAGTTGTTATAATAACAAAAGGGACCTAAAACCCCAATGGGGTGATTCAACGATTAAAAATTTGAGATTCTAAGTTAAAGATCTCAAGTTTGAGTTTTGAGTCGGGTGGGGAAGGATTTGGGAATAAAAGAGGGTTATCTCTTCTTGTATACCCCATAATCAGATGTATATAAAAAAAAAAAAGGAATCTAAATCTCTATTGCTTTGAGAAAAAAGTGCTTGAAATTACTATTCAAGCCAAACATGTAAATGAAGCAACCAAATTCCCTTATGCGCGCATTAGCCTTTACAAGAGCGAATGGGTATGCACAGGGCAAAAAGTGTTAGAAGTCATAAAATTCTTGTAGTGATATACATATTAGCCTGTTGTCATGGGACAAGACTCTAGCTAGTCACCGTGCGGCACTTAACTCGAAAATAACCCCTTAACCCAAACCATGTCAACCTTCCCCAATGTTGCCATGGCCCACCCATTGCACTTTGAGGTTAGCAACACGTAAAAGACAAATTCAAAGGTAGGAAGTTGGAAGAAGAAGAGAATTTATTAGGTTGCAAGAAAATGTTACAAGAACTTGAGTACACAACCCCTCTATGCACTCACCCACCTAGCAACTCTCTAAGCCCCTTTGGCCCCCTTGGCCTTTGGTTCCTTTCCTCTTCTATTGGCCCCTCCTATTTATAGAAGAGGTTAGGCCAAAGCCCTTCTGTAGATGAGGGCTTTAGAACACTCCACAAAACTCTCTCATATTCACAATTTTAGAAGCTTCCCCATTTCTCCCTTCCTAATCTAACCTACATTATTCTAGAACAATCCTCTCTAAAACTATGTGCAAGGCCCTAGGAAGTTCCCAACATGGGCTTGGCCTAATAAGCCCTTCTAGCTTGTTAATCTGGACACCGTTCCCGCACTCTTGCCACTTTTGGAGAATTCTAGGTAGCTCCAGATCTTGTGTAGGTATTGACACCTAAAACCCTTTATATAATCTGAGTGTCGACACCTCCTCCATTACTGGTGTGGCATGTCTCTTGAACATTCCTGGCTGCTCCCATGTGTGCCAACGTATTGAGCCCGTCCACTCTCATGTGTGCTAGTGTATTGACCTAGTTCGCTCTTGCGCACACATGCACGTCGCCCCTGACTACTTCCGTGTATGCCAGCATGTCTTGACCGCAACCCCATGCCATGGCCTTGGCATCGATACCGTTGTTGGCAAGGCCTACCTCTTAAGCATTGAGTGCCGCACCTACGCATACATGGGTGTCATGACCACAACCCTATGTCACAATCCTGACACCTCTGACTCGCGCACCCGCACTCACACTCACACTCTACAGCACTACGTAGCATGCCTCATGGACACTTCTAGCTGCTCCCATGCATGCCAGTGTATCGATGCCACAACCTCGTGCCATGATCCTATTCTTGATACTACCATCTTAAGCCCCCAAACTCATGTATCGTGACACTCTATTCTATATCCTTAAAAGCAACAAAAACCCTCAAAAATCAAAACAACATAGGCTGCAGATCCTTTCTGAACCAAGACAATGCTATACACAAGGATTGACTCCTAAATAATTTTTATGATCACAAAACGCAAGGAAAAGTTTGACAAATGTTGTGGGCAAAAGCCTACTTTAGCCGCTTACCTTACCAAGTTTGAAGGTTTTAGCTCCCACTTTATATTATGACACTTTTAACCCCTCACCTTACTAGATTTGTAGGTTTTAGCCTATCACCTTATACTATGATACTTTTAGCCCCCCACCTATTAAAATTAAAGAAAATAGTCCTCACTTTGTAATATTTTTTTAGTTTTATTAGCTAACTATTAACTTTATTAACTGACTATTAGCTGATTGTTAATTAACAAAAACTTTCTTTTAACTAACAAAGTTAACAAAACTAACTTTATAATATTTCGTTTATTTTGTTAACTGACTATTAGTTGACTACTAGTTGATTGTTAGTTGACTATTAGTTGACTATTAGTTGACAAAAACTTATTTTCAACTAACAAAATTAATAGTCAGTATAAAGTAATGTTATTTTCTTCGATTTAAATAAGTGAGTGGCTAAAACTCACAAATCTAGTAAGGTAAGAGGTTAAAATGTCATAGGATAAGGTGAGAAGTTAAAACATTCAAATTTAATAAGGTGAAGGGTTACAAGTAGGTTTTGCCACTATTGTGCAAGTGTACAATGTAGAATGACTTGAGATAGTATGGAGAAAAGCAAAAACTGGGTGAAAAGTCAACTATATATATTCTTGAAGAAATATAACTAGAAGTGCAAGAATGGCAAAAATATGACATAAGGACCCGAACTTACACCAAATTCACAATTTGGGACCCGAACTTTAATTGCGCTCAATGAAGGTCCCGAACTCCACGAAATTCTCAAATAAGGTCCCAATTGGACGGAAAACTAACTTCCGTCAAATCCCTTACAAACACCGTTAACGCCGTTAAAGCTCCATCGAATTGAAACGCATCTGGACAAAATTTTGATGGCATGTCAATTATTTTGCCATGTGGATGCCATGTGGACATGAATTCTTGGATTTTCTTGGGCGGGACTTTCCCCTCCAGGACTTTTTTTCTTTTTGGCAACTTTTTCTTTCCCTCCCATGAAAATTTGTCGATTCTCTCCAGCTTCCAAGATTATTAGAGTTCGAGACAAGGAAAAAAACCATATTTCTTTTCCCTGCAATGTTGTCCTGTGAATGTGACTTTTGAGGGATTTACAAAACGTGGTGGGGTCTTCAAATACAGCTTTAGAGATTCCACAGGTTCTTTGTGGGTTCTACAATCTTAGGTACAGACATGTGGACCAGTTTTTAATTGTTTAATGAATACAAGTTATGTAATGTGGTTTCTTTACTCTTTCTCTCGGGTTCTCATGATTTTTTTACATTTGTTTTATTTTTCCAATTAATGAGATGCATAGATGGTAGTTGTTGTCTTTATTCTCACAATAAATTTTTACTTGCGTGGCTATGTGTGAGATGGTGGTTTAAGTATATTAATTTGAGTTATTGAATCTGATTTTACAGTCCATAATGGGTGAGAAAACATTGACATTTTTCCATGGTGGATTTTTCCTCCATAGCCCTGATTTACGGTATATTGGAGGGGATAGATATGTTCAAAATGTTGATGAAGACAAGATCAGTTATTTTGAAATTTGAGGCATTGTAATTGATGATTCGAAGTTAAACTTTTCAAAATTATATTATAGTATACAGAGACTTGGTTTGGAGCAAGGATTATTTGAGATTCGTAATGATATTGATGCATTGGAGATGGCAGAACATCTAATTGAACACGATAATGTGAATGTTTATATTCACAATGGGCTTGGGCATATGCTACTTGATGCACCTCATAGTATTCATGATGTTATTGAATTGATGATGATGAGAATGAGAATGAAGATAATGAAGAAATTGGTAATGCAATTAAGGGTGATCATGGTGATGACGAAATTGATGGTGACTATGTTAATGAAGCTGTTGACATATCTCAATTAAGTTCTAATGAAGAAAATCAAGTCAATGAATCAATTGATGTCCATTGGATGAGTGAAGATGGGGACCACATGGATGCTGCCAATTCTAGTTTTCTTGGGGGTTTAAATGTCAATTTACATAGTGCTAATCTAGACCAAAGCATTAGAGATGGATTTTATGTGGAAATAGATGTTCTAAGTGATAAAGATGATGACGAATTGATAAATGCATATGGAAACTAAGCTGATTTTTGGAGGCAAACACATGCTACTTCTAATTGGTGCTTATTGGATTGTGATGATGTTTTTGAGGAACCAATAGGGGTTCATAAGGGCAAAGGAAAGGAGATTGCAGAAGATATAAATGGTGAATACAAGTTGTTCGATTCCGATACATCTATTGCTAGTTCTGAAGGAGAGAGAGACTCAGACTACATTGACAGTGATGATCCAGGGGAGTATGTATCAGATTCTGGTAATGAATTCTTTGCCATTGATGATGCTCTTAGGCAAAAAACTTCATGTCCTATTTATGACCCCACTTGTGCTATTCCACATTTTGAGCTTGGTATGAAATTTCAAAATCATATCCAGTTCAAGAAAGCTGTTGCTAAGTACTCTTCATACAAGGGGTTTGCTCTTAAGTGGTTAAGAAATGCTCCAGATAAGCAAAGAATTAGATGCATGGCTGAAAGTTGTCCATGGTATATTTCTGCAACTTATCAGAAAAGGGATGTCAGCTTTAAAGTGGTAGCTTCGGTTAGGGAGCATATTTGCCTCAAAAATATGAAAAATCCAGCAGTCACCGTAAAGTTTTTAGCTGAGCATCACAAAATGAGAATTCGAACTGTACCAGGGATTAAAATCAGTGAACTTATTAAGTTTAGTAAGATTGAGTGTAATGCTATCGTGAAGAAGGACAAAATGGCAAGGGTAAGAAAGAAGGTAATTATACAAATGAGTTCAGGGTGTTGAGAGGTTATATGAAACTGCTGAAGGAAAGTAATCCAGGCACATCTGTCCATTTTGAAGTCACTAAGTATCCAACTGATCCAATTCCAGACTTTAAAAGGATGTATGTTGGCATTGGTGCACTAAAACGTGGCTGGTTGGCTGGTTGTAGGCCAATTATAGGGATTGATGGGTGTTTTCTCAAGGGACTTTGTAAGGGGATTTTGCTGTCAGCTATAGGGAGAGATGGAAATGACTAAATGTACCCTATTGCTTGGGCTGTGGTGGAATCAGAAAATAAGGAGTCATGGACATGGTTTCTAAGGCACTTGAAATCTGATATTTTACAAAAGGATGGCACAAGATTGGCAATTATTTCAGACCAGCATATTGTAAGTTTATATAGCTTTTTAGATGTAAAACTCTAATTTCATACCAACATGTTATGTGAAATTGTTTTATTTTTTTATAATCTGATTTTTTAATTATTTCATACCAACATGGTATGTGAAATTATTTTATTTTTCTGTAATCTGATTTTTTATAAGTTTATGATATATATTTTCCTTATTTTTATACTTATAGCTTTTAAAATGTAAAACTATAGTTTTAATTAACTTATGTGATTTTTATAGGGTATTTTAGCAGCTGTTAAATCAGTTTTTCCTAAGGCTGAGCACAAATTTTGTGCTAGACATATCTATGCAAATTGGGCAAAAGATCCTTTAAATAGAGGGGATGAAAAGAAGCTGCACTTTTGGATAACTAGTAGGTCTACTTATGTTGAGGAGTTTAATGACAACATAGTCCATATGCAAGGGCTAACACAAGCTGGGCATGATGCATTAGCAAATGCTAGAGCCCAAGAGATGGTGCAAGGCTTTCTTTCAAACATATTCAAGGTGTGACATCATTGAAAACAACCTAATGGAGACATTCAATTCTTGGATACTTGATGCAAGATGCAAGGCTATATGTAGCATGACAGCTGAGCTGGTAGATAAGTTGATGGTTAGGCATGGTGAAAAGAAGGCATTTTGTAGGAAATGGCCTACTGACATTGCTCCAAGAGCATACAAGAAATTGCAGAAAAATGTTCGCATTGCAGCTTATTGCCATCCACAATGGAATGGGGAAACATCATTCAAGGTTAAAATGGACAATGAAGCATTCGTAGTTGAATTCACAAATTCCACATGCACATGCCAATCATGGTAGTTGACAGGGATTCCTTGCCCACATGCTTGTGATTGTCTAATTGATCAAAATCAAAATGTGGAGGAATATGTTTCCCATTACTACAAGAAAGACACTTATTTGGAAGTGTACAAAGAACCAATCTACCCTTCTAAAGGAGGTCTGAGAATCTGGAATCAAACTGGATGTCAACCAATAAATCCACCACCATTTAGGCAACAAGCTGGGAGGCGAAAAAAAATAGAAGAAAGATAAGGATGAACCAAAGAAGGTTAGCAAGTCTCGGTTGGCTGTCCAAAGGATTTCCAGATTAGGTGCTAAGATGACTTGCTCAATTTGTGGAGTTAAAGGTCACAACAAAACTGGCTGCCTTAAAAAAAATTCACTAGATGTGGTTCTTGGTCAGGTAAAAGCTTGTGTTATAAATACTTACGTGTCCATTAAATCTGGTGGTAATTATAATATAATTTAATTTGTGGAGTTGAGAATCATATTTAATTTAATTTAATTTTTTTTTTTATGCAGAAGGTTGGTCCCAAGGGCAAAAAACATGCTTACAAGAAGAGAAAAGAAGTTGGTCTTGGTATCTTTAATGACCCATTCACTGGAGATGTCATTTTGGATGTAAGAGCATTATTGTCACTTGAGATTTTATTTTATAAAATCTGGTGTATACATGTATAAGTATATATATATATTTCTTTTTTTGCTTATGTTCAGTTATAAAGGTTTTGACTTTAACAATGTGACTTATGTGGTTTTTTTTTTCATAAAAAATCATGAAACAGCCTGGACATGCTTCTGAGTTGTTTGTTTCAAGTGGAAGTCAGAGGGAAAGAAGAGGAATGCAGCAAGAGTTTAGGGAGATTGGGCCAAGGATTGAAGTTGGAGAAAGCTCAAAACAAGGGAGCAAGAGAAATGGAAGACATGAAAATGGGATCCAGATTTCTAGGAAGAAGAGAACCTCAAAAAAACAGAAAAATTAAGTCTACTGTGTTAGTTTGCTTAAGTCTACTGGTATTTTTGTTAGAATGTATTCTGGTCTTTTATTTATGTATAATGTTACTGTGGTATTGCTTCTGAGTTGTTAGAATGTATTCTATTGCAGTACCAATGTATTCTGGTCTGTTGCTTAAGTTAAAACTGGTATTTTTGTTAGAATGGATTCTGGTATTTTGTTTAAGTCTACTGTGTTATTTTGCTTAAGTCTACTGGTATTTTTATTTAAGTCTACTGATATTTTTGTTTAAGTCTACTGGTATTTTATTTATGTATAATGTTACTGTGGTATTGCTTCTTAGTTGTTAGAATGTATTCTATTGCAGTACCAATGTATTCTAGTATGTTGTTTAAGTTAAAACTGGTATTTTTATTAGAATGGATTCTGGTTTCTTTGTTTAAGTCTACTATAGTATTCTATAATGTATTATTTTCTTTTACAATGTATTTTGGTCTATTGTTAGTTTGATATACATCATATTCTGTAGACTTGCAAAGAATGAGAATATACAAAATAAACACTTTTCATTTCCAGAACTATCAGAAGGAAATCAGATGTCTATTTCTAGAAAGTGTGATTTAAGGTGGGATGGCCATTTGGTCATCTTACATTGACAAAACAGAAGCAAAATGACCACTTCCTATTGCACTACACAAAATGGCCATTTGGGCATCTTACTGAGCAAAACAGACAACATAAATTGGCTGTTATCACACCTCACTTCAACAAAACCAGACAAGCAATGAAAACAACACAACAAAAAAAAGCAGTCCTATAAAAATTCAAACTAAATGAATCTATCCTTCCATTCTCTTCTATTTTTTCTGGCATTCCTTCTTTGTTGTCCATTCCACAGATACACCTTTCGTCCTTTTCTCTTTTAGACACCATTGCTTCCATTTCAACACCTCCACTACTCTCTTCACTAACCAATTCTGCTCTCAACATCTTGTTCTCATTCTCCAAAGCCAAGTTTTCATTTTCAAGCCTATTAAATACATCTTTGTACCAACTCGATAATTCAGCATCAACCCATTCAAAAAAAATGCAGGCTCTTGCTCCACCACCACTTGGCTGCAGTACTAAAAATAAGATTCAAAAGCAAATAAACTTGAAATGTGATAATTAATTTCAAGAACAATTTCAAGAACAATTACCAAATACCCTTTACTAACCAGCCAAAATGGGCATTTGTAGTACCTTCTTCCTGGGTTTAACTCACTCGTGCTAACGTGAAGCCATGCTGCTAATCCATGATCACAAACTTGTCTAGCACTAGATCGATCCACAGAAGCTCGAAGTGAAGAGGTAGATGTTGAAGATGAAGCCCTGGACTTCATCTTGGTTTCAGGCCAAAAATCGAGGACTTCAAGAATGTTTTGCTCCGCCTCACCTGCACCTCCACCTACGCCCTTGCTTCGGCCATTAAGCTTTGCCTTCACCTCTGCCTCGGCCTCGGCCTTCTCCTCCCCTATTTCAAACAAGTATTTCAAGACAAAAATGGGAAAGGATTTCAAGATTGGGAAAGGATTTCAAGATTGGGAAAGGATTTCAAGGTCGGTAGGCTCTCAAACTCTTCGCGTAATGGCTTCCTTCCACTTCTTCTTGATCTTGGTCATAGCACTGGTCTTCACCTTTGCCACTGCACAATCACCCACACCATCATCGTCTCATTCTCCAAAGAAGTCACCGCCTCCGTCTCATGCAGCCAAATCAAATTGCCAGCTTCTGCACCGCCTCCGTCGGAAATGACGACTACTCCACCCACTGCCGAACCGTCTCCATCTCCGTCTTCAATCTCTTCGACTCCTACAGAAGATTGGTAGGAAATTGCAAGAAGGTAAAATTTTCCAAGATCATAAATTTTCTAGATAAGAGATTTTCTAGATTTGGTTTCGGGTTCAAGAACAAAGAATGAAGCAGCAGGGGAAAATTAGGGATTTTATCCCTAATTCGTGGGAAACCTTGGTCAAAAAGACCAAAAGCCCACCAGTGGGTCCCACAAATAAGACTTCATGTCCACATGGCAAAATAATTGACATGTCATCTAAAATTTGTCCAGCTGTGTTTTGGTTGGGTGGAGCATTAACGGTGTTTGTAAGGGATTTGACGGAAGTTAATTTTCCGTCCAATTGGGACCTTATTTGAGAATTTCATGGAGTTCGGGACCTTCATTGAGTGCAATTGAAGTTCAGGTCCTAAATTGTGTTGACTCAATGTACTCCAAGAGGGGGGGTGAATTGGAGTTCCAAAAATTCTCCCCTTTTTGCAACCACAAAACCAAAATTAAAGAGAGTAGAGAAGAAGAGCTTGCTCAATGATTTATAGAGGTTCGGTCCAACCACTT